GCACACCACAGCAGACTGTCGGCTCATGTCAGGGAGGGCGACAATGACACAGTGATCGCAGTGGAACAGGTAGACTGAAATGGAGGCATTTTAAAAATAACGTATTTAACTTATTTGAATATCGGTTTCCATTCTCGTGACTGCTTAAAAAAAAGTGAATTGACTACTATCCGCTTGATGTTTTTGCTGTCACTGAAATCTGATTTTAAAAAAAGTCACAGTCCGTTTCTGCCCTCTAAAACACTTTTGCCCGGGAGAACTGTAAAATAAATACTTTTGAATTCGCTACTTTATACTGTGAGAACAATTAAGCAAAAAAAAAAAAAAAAACAAAACAAACTGTAACAACGAGTTATGCAAACACGGCCACAAACGAATTTTAAATAAGTCACAGTCCGTTTCTGCCCTCTAAAACACTTTTTGCCCGGGAGAAGTGTAAAATAAATACTTTTGACTTCGCTACTTTATACTGTGTTCCCTCACCACCTTCACCAATCAAATTCATCCGGTTCCATGAGGAAGTAACCGATGACTAATGACGTCATGCTAGCACTTGTTTCAACATAGCCGCACACAGGATGAATAATGACAAAGTTGTTGACAGATCCTGCTGTTCACACAGTTGCAGTGTCGAATATTTACATCGAGTCCCATGCGTGAAGCCAGCGATGGGTCTCCGCTCAGTCACTCTTCAAACGTGAGTTTTTATTCACAGACGAGCACGTTGACTTCGGACTTGTGCTTGCATGTTAAATTAAAAATAAAAAAAGAAAAACGATATCCACACCATCCACACTTACGAAAGAGTAAAATTATTTAGGGTCAGCAATCAATCGAATGTACGCATTTTCACAAACGTTCAGTACAACTGATTGCGTTTTCGTCTGCAGGAAAGACAATTTAGTCTTACGTCAAACTAACTTCCGTTGTGAGAATTTAGTTTTCAAAGCACACATGTCAAGATAAACTATTTTGAAAAGAGTTTATTTCAAACCCTACGCAAGAGTTGGAAAATGTAATCTTCAATAAACCATGATTTATTTATTTAGTTTGTGAACATCAAAACAATTTAGACTAGTCTTCAGTTAAACGAAACAAACACATTTTGCCAAACGCAAAGTAAAGTAACCTAAAGGCCATTTAGTCCTCGATGAAACCAACGTTTTTGTAAACATCAGACTGCAACATTTTGATAAGTGCTAATTAATAAACTATTAAACCCAGCTGTTTTGTAGTTTGATGGGGCTTTTTTTGCAAATCCAATTCAACACGCTTTCCTAAAACATCAAACATAATTCTGAGTCTTCAATGAACCTCACGAATGCGTTTTCCTAAAAATCCAAAAATGATTCCGTCATCGGTAAACCTTTCCTGTCCTCAATTTATTAGGGAGCAGTTTGTTCATAACTGTGAACCAGTTTATGGGGACAAATGGAATGTTGTGGGTCGAAACCCCCTCAAAACAAATCATAAAAAACATTGCCCTGCACTACATGAGTCTGATCATTGATGACGTCACTTGAGAATCACAGTGTTGGAATAAAATCTTTGAAAAAGTAGCCAGCGGGGAACAAAAAGTACAAACACAGACCCAGAAAAAAAAGGGCCAAAAATACAGCAACACGCTACCATTTGCAATCAATAACACTTTCAAAGGCTTCTGGTGACTCCTCCAGGAGTACTTGTGCATGGACAACATGAGTTACAGCTATAAATTATAGACTCTATAAATAAAATAATGTAAGTGCCTTCACTAAAGACACCGAAGGAGGGAACGTGAGTCAGTTGCATCTTTACTGTCTAAATGTGTTTTCGTGCTTGTATTTACATTGGAAGCTGAGCGGAATGCCTTTTATTTTTGGTCGGGCATTAGCGTTGGTGTCCACGAGAGGGGTCCTTTTTTTGTGATTCTCACTTGTACTTCATTCAGTCCAGCTGCTCAGAGGGTCTTCCTCTACTCCCGTCGGCTGCTGACTCCTCGACTTCTGCTCCTCACCGATCGTTTGTGTAGCCTGTTGCCGCCAGCTGTTGGAGAGAAAATTTTGAGTCGTGCGCGTATTGGCAAAACGAGAACAATTCAAACAGCATTTCTCCCTTCCGATGAAAGTCGGCAAAGGCTTTAGTATGATTAGATGCATCAAAAGCAGTGATGGCGGGCGCAGGGAAGGTATGCTAAAGACAAGTTTTTTTTTAACAATCAAAATTGTATGCCTGTTTTTAAATTAAGGAATATTTTTTGCACAAAATGGCCCCATAGTTGTAAAACTCACTTTCTGTACATTCCACTTGTGGACTCTCCCACTGTCCATTTTCCATACAACGTATGACAGGTAGGTGGCGCTGCGTGTAGCCCGCTTGACACTGGTAGCGCACTTTGGAGTTGACGGCGTAGCGATCTCTGGTGACGCCCATTGGTGAGCCGTGAGCCACCTCCGGGGGCGCTCCGCACCCCGCTGACGGGGAGCACAATGATAGAATGTAAAATGCTCTGAGATGTTTGACAGGCGCAATTTATTTGACTTTGTCAACTTGTGCAAAATGTATTTAAATGCCGAAGATTTGGTCACGTGCATTCAAAAGTATAGAGAATGTTAAATGGAGTTCAGCTCCACTCAACAGTATTTCTAGAGCACTTTAAAGCAACCACCGTTGTATCTGAAGTGCTGTGCATGGAGCAAAAATAATTAATACAACAATCAATAAATTAATAACAAAGACAGTAGAAAGCACAAAAACAGTGGAACTAAAAATCGAGTCTCATGCTGAGTCAAAATCCAAAGAATAAAAATTAGTTTTAAGACGAGTTTCATTCCAGAGAGAGGGAGTGGCAACGGAAAAGACTCGATCCACTCTGAGCCTCTGC